GATAATTAGATGTGCATATGTTCATTAATTATTTTTGACCACCAAATGACATTTTTCCCCTTATTTATTGGATCTTCGAAACGGCTGGACCTGCCATTGCCAAAAACTAATCAGCACATCTCCTTATCAATAGGAATCGAATGTTTTTTTAATTATTCAAATATATAATATATATATATATATATATATATATATCTTCTATATATATAAAAATAAGTCGGGTTTTCCTTCCTGACGAAATAACTCCAGAACGCACGAACCGATTTCGACAATTTTTAATTCATTGGAAAGGTCTTGGGCTCCGCAAGGTTTATAGCTAAGAAAATTAGTGGTGCATGGCATCTAGCCCTAATGCAAATTGCTGGAACTTCATGCACAGTAATTAAAAATTCGAGTAATAAAAATAATCAATAACTGTTTTAAATCGTTTCAAATAGATTATCTTCTATATATATAAAAATAAGTCGGGTTTTCCTTCCTGACGAAATAACTCCAGAACGCACGAACCGATTTCGACAGTTTTGCATTCGTTGGAAAGGTCTCGGGCTCCGCAAGGTTTATAGCATGGCATCGTGCCCTAATGCAAATTGCTGGAACTTCATGCACAGTAATTAAAAATTCGAGTAATAAAAATAATCAATAACTGTTTTAAATAATTTCAAATAGATTATCTTCTATATATATAAAAATAAGTCGGGTTTTCCTTCCTGACAAAATAACTCCAGAACGCACGAACCGATTTCGACAATTTTGCATTCATCCGCAAGGTTCATAGCTAAGAAAATTAGAGGTGCATGGCATCGTGCCCTAATGCAAATTGCTGGAACTTCACGCACCGTAATAAAAAATTCGAGTATTAAAAATAATCAATAATTGTTTTAAATAATTGCTATTTTAAATAAAAATAAGCCGGGTTTTCTTTCCTGATCAAATTTTTCCTTTTCAAATATAAAACAAACAAAAAATTTCTTCATCTTTCTCACGAAACCATCTGGTGGCGAAACGGAGTTTGTCGGGTTTGCTAGTATATATATATATAATAGATAAATATATATCCATTATGCATTATCCTATTATTCAAATAATTAAACAATTTGTATGATACGTTTGCATTCTCCATTATCTCACAAATGACGAATTGTGAGATGTGACTCAAATGTTTTGAATGATTTCGAACTCAATTATTATTTGCATATTGATAATAATCGAATTTGATATTTGCCTGATATACAACACATAAAGAATGACACAACAAATAACATTTAACAGTGATAATGTTCTGCCTATTGGCAAGTCACAACGTAAGTAGAGATAAAGTTTCGAGATAAATGATTTTGTTAATGATAAAAGACTTTGACCTTTGGCTATAACAGTTGAGGTTCTATTTAAGCTTCAGACAACCTTAATCAAGCAGTAGTGAATATCATTGAAAATATAAATCTTATTTGACCAATTGCGAAATGATATACAACAGTTTAGTTAAATTCAAATGTTAAAAATTATAATTAACTTCATAATTAAAAATTATTAAGCGTGAGTTATAGTAACCGCAAAAAATCAAAAATGAATTTTTACATGTCTTTACGTTTCAGAGGTTTCTGAACATTTTGTGTGTGTGCGTGTGTGTGTGTGCGGATACAAATTTTCGTCGACGATTTCGGGAACACGGTTTCAACCGATTAGAATGTTTCAAAAAACGATTTGATTTCTTTTGATAAGGAAACGTGCTGATTAGTTGTTGCTAAAGGCAGGTCCAACCGTTTTGAAATACGGGGCAAAAAGTGCCAAAACGGCAACTCGTTTTTTAAGAGAGGGGAGCTTCCGATTTCATATAATTCATATAACATTGTACTTGTATTGACAAGATGAAGAACTGAATAATTTTTGGGAATGCAGGTCTAGCGATTTTGGAGATCCAATACAAAAATTGAAAATTGCCATTTAACTGACAAAAATGATTATTTTTCATAAGCACATCAAATTATCTATAATTACTGTGCGATTGCTTTGAAAAAAAGTTCAAAATTTCCAAATATTCAAAATAAACAAACATATAAACCGAAAGTTTTTTTTTCTAAAAAAGTCAATTTTTTTTTCAAAAATTTAAAATTTCTCAAAATTCAAAATTTTTCAAAGATTATAAAAAACATCATCTTTTTTGAAAAAAAATACTTTTTGGTACGAGAGAAGTTCTAGCAATTTGTCTTAAGGCACAACTATTTTTTCATTTTTTGATCAATTTTTTTATTCTATTTTTTTCATAATTTGTAACTAAAGAACACATTCAGCCCTAAATTTTAACTTGTTAGGTCCGTACTAGGTAAAAGATTCAGATAAGATTTCTTTTAATTGCTACTAGATTCTTATAAGATTTTGACAGATTTTCTGACCGAATTTTTAGATTTATTAAAATATTAGTAGTATCCTTATTAGGTTTTAACTGAATCTTTACAAGGTTTTAATAACTCCCAGTAGGAAAAATGAAAATTTCGCATATCTTCTTTTCAGAGGTTTCTGAATATTTTGGCATAACTCAAAAAATGGATGCGTGTGTGTTTTGTGTCCGTATTTTTTCGCCCACGTTTTCGGGCGCACGGATCAACCGATTTGAATAATTTAAAAAACATTCGATTCCTATTGATAGGGAGATGTGTTGATTAGTTTTTGGCAAAGGCAGGTCCAGCCGTTACGGAGATATGGAGCAAAGATGTGCAGAAAATAGAAATAGAGTTTTTGAGAGAACTCTATCTTATATTTTTAAAATTATATAAAATAGCGCATATGAAATATATATTGAAATTTTTTTATGTATCAAGCAAAAGTATAAAAATCTTGATTTGTAATTTTTTTTTTCTTTATTGAATTACAATCTGTCTTTAAAAAAGTAAGACATTCAGTAATTTCGATGATATATGAATATTAACCTTAGATCTAAAAGATTACCCAGTAGTAAGCCTTTTCAATTTGATATATTGAATTTAAATATTGTGATTATATAGAGTAAATTGTAAACTGAGTAAATTTAAAATGATTTATTGGAATTGGATTATATAAGTTAAAATTAACTTGTTTCGATCTAATTTGGGCATCAGCTCTTATTGATATATAGAGTAAACTATCAAAACACAAACACATTCAGAAAATTACAAAAGCCGCCTTGAGGATCATCCAAACCCACTTCCAGAGATAATACTACCAGGACAATATTAGAAAAGAAATTCATATTACATTATATGTTAATTTATGAAATCTTTGATAATAATCAGAAAATTTTGTTTTTCTAAAGTCATTTTTAACTTCCGTAGGGTAGTTATGGTAATGGGCCGAAAATCGAAAATGAAATTTTTGCATTTCTCGACGTTTTGAAGGTTTCTGAACATTTTACTGGCATACCTCAGAAACTAAATGGAGTGGTGTGTGTCCACGTTTTCGGGCGCTCGGATCAACCTATTTGAATGGTTCAAAAACGTTCGTTTCCTATTGATTGGGATGTGCTGATTAGTTTTTGGCAAGGCAGGTCCAGTCGTTACGGAGATATAGAGCAAAGAGTGCAGAAAATACAAATCGAGTTTTGAGAGAACGGAGTATCCGATTTGAATGATCTAAAAAACATTCAATTGGTAATGATTGTAGAAGTGGTGATTAGTTTTTGGCAAAGACAGGTTCAGTCGTTTCGAAATACGGAACAAAATGTACAAAATGGCAATTTTTAAGAGAACTAAGCATCCGATTTGAATGATTTAAAAAACTAACTTTCTGCTTGTGCTGACGAAACGATTGAGATAATATTTTTTTCAATTTGCAAAAGTTTTTTTGAATATTGCAAAAAATAATTCGGTTTTAATTCTGATTCTAGCTAAAGTTCTAAAGCTAACTAATATACTTCAGATAAATAATTTTAATTCTTATAAATATTAGATGTCGTTTCATTTTGAATCTGATTGATTAAGTTTGTTTATTTACTTTTCTGTAAACTATATAAGTTAAGTATTTATAATAATCTATTTGAGAACATCTAAAATTCCTCGAATATTGCATTACTGTATGGGAAGTTCCAGCAATTTGCCTGAAGACACGATGTCATACAACACTAATTTTAGACGTTGTTTTGAAGTCCTTGAAATTTAAGACAATTTTTGATACCGAATGCGAAATATTTTAAAATAGCGTGCAATTTATTAATAAAATATAAAAATCGAGATAATTCATTGTAATTTGCAACATATACGTAATATATCGATATACATGTCAATTTGCGATAGTTAATAACACAGGAAATTGTATTAAAGTACATATTCATAGATTTATTTTATGTAATACAAAAATATGGTGATAGCATGTTGAGAGTTCAGTTTAGTAGAGAAAGTATTTTGCATGGAATATAATAATGATGGTAAATATAATATAAATTGAGTACTATGATATTAGTTTACATAATTAGGTTCCCGAAGGAGAAGTTTATGTTTTCATAAAAAATCGATTCGCTAATTTTATGTTTTTCTCCACGTTTCAAGACATTCTGAATTGAATGAGACCAAATTTGAAAAAAGTATGTGTAAACAATTTTTTTACTGTAAATCGACGTTTTTTCAAAAACGGCTGGACCGATTTCAAAAATTTAAAAGCCATTCTATGTATCTCGATGAGGACTATCGTTTGTCAGTTTTGTGTGACGATCTGCAAGCCGTTTCTTTGGAATTTGTGAAAAGTGTTAAACTTTCGTCCACAATTTAAGCTCATACTACCAAATCGATTTAAAAAAATCAAAAACTGTTCGAAGATATTAGTTGGGAATGATACTGATTAGTTTTAGTTGAAAATCAAATTAGATGATAAATTGCAAATTATTCTATCAAAATATAGAAATTCCGACGTTGTGTGTATAAAAACAGCTTTTTTTTTCTTGAAACTATATAATTTCTGATTTTATATTTTGGCCGCCAAAATGTAATTGAATGCTGTCCAATCAGATCACTCGTTTCGTTTATAAAGGAAAATGGAGTAGAAATGTCAAAGTGGTTTATGGAATTGTTAAAGTTAAATTGGAAAATAAAATAATTGTAAAAAGGTCAGTATGAACGAATTAGTAAATTTATTATACGTTCATAACACATATATTTTAAATATAAATTCTTTACTTTCAAGAACTCATCGACAGTTAGTTTATTATAACCTACAAACTTCTAAAATGTCTGAAGAAACAAATTCAAACAAAACAATTAAAACCGAACCGATTGATGATTATCCTCAAGTGAAACAGGAATTTGATGATTATGAAAATACGTCAGATTTGTGTACGTATAATGATGATATATGTCTACAGCAATTTCTAAAATCTGAAGTTACAATTGACGAGGAAATAAAACAAGAGACGATTGATGACCAAGATGATGCTTTGGATAATACAAACGAAAGAGTTTTAGATGAAAAACCTTACATATGTAACGAAGAGATCAGTAATTCAAGTACTTTAGTGGATAGCACGAACAAATCAATTAAAAAAGTTTCAAGAAAGTGCAAGACAACCAATAATTTGAAAAAGCTTTAGATGTGAATTTTGTAATAAAACATTAACAACAAAATTTAGCTTAAACCAACATGAAAGGATCCATACTGGAGAACGTCCTTATGAGTGCAAAATATGCAATCAAAGTTTTTACAGATAAGTCATTTGAGAGATCATTCAGTAGTACATACTGGAGAACGCGCTTATAATTGTAAAATATGCAATAAAACATTCTCAAACGCAGGTAATTTGAAAACACATTTTTTGGTGCATACTGAAGAACGCGCTTTTAATTGTGAAATATGCAATAAAAAATCAAAACAAAGCCAAACCTAAAACAACACAAAATAACCCATACCGGAGAACGACCTTATGAATGTGAAATATGCAATAGAGCATTCTCAAGAAAATATTCATTAACACAACATAAAAGAGTACATGCTGTAGAAGGAAACAGTCAACAAAACTTTTGAATTAGTCTTGTAATTGTTTAAGCTTATAATTCTTTTCAAGTACTCAATTATACTGATATATAATAATAATTGCAATTATGTATTATATATTTCTGTTTGTTACTCATAATCAATGAATATGTAATGTAATGGTTTAATAATATTGTATTTATTTTGTATTTACTACAGTCAAATAAATATTTTTCAAGTTTTTAGAGACTGAAATATTGTTGTCACATTGAAGGACTGATTCAGCTGCATACAAAAAAATGTTATGGCAAGGCCATGTTATGCTTTAACTTGCATACATTATGCTACTGAATCATACTAAATACTGTCAACATTCAATTCATTTGTTGTGCATTCAGGCGTTTTCACACAAAACTGCAATGTCACTCGTATGTTATGAAGCTGGGTCAAAACACCCTGTTATCTAACATCGGTTTTTGACATTTGTGCGGTTTTTTAACTTCCCGTCTGGTAGTTATAGTAATGGGCCGAAAATCGAAAATGAAAATTTTTGCATTACTCGACGTTTTGAAGGTTTTTGAACATTTTACTGGCATACCTCGGAAAAAAAATGGATGTGAGTGTGTGTGTGAGTGTGCGTGTGTGCGGTGGGTTTTAAATCGAATGGTTTAAAAACATTCGATTCCTATTAATAGGAAGATTTGCTGATTAGTTTTGGCAAAGGCAGGTCCAGCCGTTACGGAGATATGGAGCAAAGAGTGCAGAAAATAGAAATCGAGTTTTTGAGAGAACGGAGCATCCGATTGTATGATCCAAAAAACATTCAGTTCGTAATGACGGGGTTATTAGTTTTGGCAAAGGTAGGCCCGGCGGTTTCGGAGATACAGAGCTAAATGTGCAAAAAATTGCAGTTTTTGAGTGAACTAAGCGTCCGATTTAAATGATTCAAAGAACTTTCTGCTTGTTTCAGCAAAATAATTGCTTTTGGAAAAAAATTGGTTCTAATTTTTTTTTCAAAAATTTTTTTTGTAATTTTGGATTCAAAAAAATTGAAAAAATTACCCAGGCTAAGCTCAGTCTAAGCGCCACTCTGGTACAAATGTTTACCTAAGTGCGTTTAGACTGTTTATGTACTGGAGCACTTTTTCAATTTTGTGAAAAAAAACTATTGAAAAATGTGAAAATGCCGCCAAGCTAAGCACAGAATAAGTGAAAATGTCGCACAAAATTACTTGCAAATGCGTTTAGACTGTGACTATGCGAGAGCACTTTTTCAATTTTGTGTAAATTAGGCAACTATTTTTTTTTTTAAATTGGATTCAAAATGAAATGACGATTGTTAATGTTCTGGATATAAATTGATTTATGATTTATGATTTACATTTGATTTGCTCAGATATAACAAGATAGCAAAAATAATAAATAATAAAAGTTACAGTATTTGTAATAATATATTTGAAAACGTTTAAAATTTATCGAATATTTTATTACGGTACGGGAAGTTCCAGCAATTTGCCTTAAGGCACGATGCCATACACCACGAGTTGACATTTGTTTTTGTGTTATGTTTTCTATTTCTAGTTCAAACCCACAAACCATTCAGAATTGTTATAATTTATTTTTGTTAATCAAGACTTTAATGTCTTATTTAAAAAATGTTAGATATAGTTAAATTGAATATAAAACCAAACAAACGATTCAGAATGATTTCAAACGTCGAAAAAACATAAAATTAGCAAGTTCATATTCAAATTATAAATTTAAAATACAAAACCGTTTAAAATAGAACCACTAGTGCCACACATCGGCGAACTGTGGCAAAAACACTTTTGACATTTATAAATTCCTACAATTATTTTCGAATGACATAAAAAGGATTAAACAGCCTCGAAATGTCGCTGTTTGTAATTCAGCACACTGTAAAAGCCTCCAGTAAGTAATAAATAACATAAATCTATAATTAAAATTATTTAAGTCTCATATTTAAAATCCATATGTACTCTGACTACTTAACCATATAGGTTATGTAATGAGTAACATATACAAATTATCTTCTAAGTCCTTTTTTAATTTTTTAGAAAATCAGACAGGATGGATCGGAATTGCTTGTCTGCAGCAGGCCCCTTACAGTACAAAGCCCCAGAAAACCAATTTATTAATTTAATGGTGTCGTTGCTACAGTTTTTGGGGCTACAGGCTTTACGGGACGATATGTGTGCAATAAATTGGGAAAAATTGGCACCCAGGTATAAAGGATTGATTTAAAAGGTGTTAGATTGTAAGAGGACGCTTTTTAAACAGAGAACAAACTCTTTCAATATTAAATTATACTTTTTGATTTTAATTTGAAGAGAAGTTTATTAGGAATGCAACACAAAATTCGCAATGTAGTTGTACAATACAGTCAGGATATGCAAGTGGCTTTTTAACGCTATCACAACTCATTTTATTCAATATTTGATTTTAGTAAATTTTATATATTGCTTATTAATGTAAATAAATTATAAGGTCGGAAAGGAAAATTAAAAGTTATTTGTAGAGAAGTAAAACATGTGCTATATAGCAAATTATCAAAAATCCAAAGTCTGCATTTCAACTGCGAATTATTCAAAATTTCAATATAAAAGTGTATATAACAGTGTTTACTAGATTTTAGTAAATTTTATCTAATTTCAACTAATGCCACCGAATTAAAATGTCTGGGAATAAAATTAAAAGTTATTTGAAGAAAAGTAGAAAAAATGACCTAAATTAATATATTGCAAATTACCAAAAAACCAAAGTCTGCATTTCAACCTCGAATCTTTCAAAATATTAATATTGAAGTGTGTATTCCAATTTTTACTAGGTTCTAGTAAATTTTATCTAGTTTTTACCAATGTTACCAAATTATAATGTCCGGGAAGAAAATCATAAGTTATTTGAAGAAAAGTAAAAAAATGTCCTAAATCAATATTGTGCAAATTATCAAATTATCAAAATCTGCATTTCAACTGCGAATTTTTCAAAATATTAATATCCAAGGATGAATAACAGTTTTCACTAGATTTTAGCAAATTTTATCTAGTTTTTGCTAATGTCACCAAATTTTATTGTCCGAAACGAAAATTAAAAGTTATTTCAAGAAAAGTAAAAAAAATGTCCTAAATCAATATTGTGCAAATTATCAAAATACCAAAGTCCGCATTTCAACTGCAAATTATTCAAAATTTAAATATCCAAGTGTGTATCGCAATTTTCACTAGATTTCAGTAAATTTTATCTAGTTTTTACTAATGTAAACAAATTACAATGTCCAAAAAGAAAATTAAAAGTTATTTGAAGAAAAAAAAGTAAAAAAATGCCCTCAAATGTATCAAAATATCAAAATCCGCATTTCAACTGCAAATTATTCAATATTTCAATATGCAAATGTATAAAACAGTTTTTACTAGATTTTAGTAAATTTTATCTAGTTTTTACTAATATCACCAAATTCAAATATCCAGAAAGAAAATCAAAAGTTATTTGAAGAAATGCAAAAAAATTTCTTAAATTTATATATTAATAACCTAACCTCAAAATACTTTAATCATATTTTTTTCATTCTGTAAGCATAATACACAATTATTTTTTTTACTTATTTTTTCTTAGTTAATTATTCCCTACCGTGGAGATTTCTACCCAGCACAACGCTTGAAATGTGTGGGCGATTTGGGACAAGTATTATTCACACCGTACAATTTAAGAGACCGAGAGTCCATTGATAAAGCCATCAGGTATTCTAATGTCGTCATCAATTTAGTAGGAAGAGATTGGGAGACTAAGAATTTCAAATTTGATGATGTTCATGTTGAAGGTGCCCGAACTTTAGCAAGGTAAATGATAGTATAATTTTTGCATGCCACTTTATAAAGTGTATTATATTTACTTTTTGAAGTAAAACTTCTTTAGGCGCGACATAGGTTAGCAGTATAATTCGTGAGTTGATAAAAATGTCCGGATCGGAAGAATATTTTATTCCGTCCCCCATAAATAATTGTAGTGCAAATGATCGCAAATAAATAATGAAACTAAGGAAAAATCTGCGCTGCGTAAGAAATGATAGCTTTGGCTATGTATGTTTTGTGTGTGATCGACTTTGGCTTCAAAGTGACTTAGAAATATCAAATGATGCTCAAAAACAAATTCTTAATAATGTTTTTTGAATATTGGTTCAAATAATCAGGTTGGATGTCAAACTTGTCGAAAGATATTAAATTCGGGTAAAATTCCCACTTTGTGTAAATTTAACCGGTTTGTATTTCCGCCTATACCAAATTCTCTACCTAAACTAGATACTGTATCTGA